TAACCTTAATGGTGGTCGAGTAGATCATGTTGTGCGGTGGAGAACCATCGCTCCGCGCAAGGGGGATGATCGCACCACGTTGTGTTAATATGGTCAACCACCCTCGAGGCAGCTACACAGTGCTTACAACTGTCTCTGGAAGTGAACGCATCAGAAAATATATAAAGTCATACGTAGCTGTCACCCGTACGCAAGAAAGTAAGCACAAGATGCCGAAAACCCTTAGCAGGATGCAGCGCATCCTTCATGCGACTCGCCGAATATCTCACGGCGCTTCGCGCTTGGTGATGTGAAAGCCTGGTCCGGTGAGNCTAGATGTGTATAAGAGACAGGCTTACAACTGTCTCTGGAAGTGAACGCATCAGAAAATATATAAAGTCATACGTAGCTGTCACCCGTACGCAAGAAAGTAAGCACAAGATGCCGAAAACCCTTAGCAGGATGCAGCGCATCCTTCATGCGACTCGCCGAATATCTCACGGCGCTTCGCGCTTGGTGATGTGAAAGCCTGGTCCGGTGAGAACCCGGCGTGCTCCGTCCCGGCTTTGTAGGGATGCGAGGTCAATGGTCTAACGACTACGGCATGCACGACCATGAGTCCCCCCCCCTCCCCCTTCCATATTCTCGTCAGCGTGCTTGCTGCGGCGGCGATGCAGGACCCCCGAGTGCAGGCGGCGTTCCCAGGAGGCGTGATCTGGCTGAGGGCTGGTCACTCCGCCGACGATAGGCTGCTCCGGATGATGGAGCTGGCCGTGTGCCAGGTAGATACTTGATTTGTGTGCCACGTCCTCTGTTCTGTTTGTGTGTGTGTGTGTGTTTTGCTTGTCTTCACTTCAAATCAGTGCTCACATCATTTGTGCCCCTTTACTCCAACCCGTAGTCACACAGAAGGGTGCCTCTCCCTGAGGCCCCCTACCCACCTACCCTCCTGCGGTACTTTTGCCTTCGATGTTTAGTGCGACGAGCGTGCAGCACTCTCTTCCCTACATGAACACGCGAACTTTAATAGCGCTTTCCACCCAGGCCAGGATCGGAAGCGAGAGAAAAGCTCACTTTGGCTTGCGCCGGGATTCGGACCCCTGAGCCTGGCCACTATAAGGCTTTCGAGGATACCAAGTAGACTACCGGGGCGATATTGGGGGCGGTATTTTTTCTCAGCGGCGGTTTATTCACAGCGCTTTCCCCCAAAAGGGTAGGAATGTTTCCAAGTTAGGGAACGTTGCGAGGCGAGTTCGAAGCAAAAAAAAACGGAGCTCTACTGTAATTTGGAAGCTACTGTTACTGTTTCTGGGCCCTTCTCACAAATTTGGAACAATCAGCTACGTATTAGACGCCCTGAGGCGTCTTGTCGCCGCCGTCTCGTCGGTAAGTATTGTTGACCTGGGGGGGTGGAGTGTGTCCGCCGACTTCGGCCTGTGGTGTGTGAGTATTTTTTGTCGTGCTGACGCATTTGTTGTGTGTTTCTTTGCCGTAGGTTGCGTTGTGTATGATATCACACTCCCCGGACCAATTCTCGGAGCTCGATATCTCGGCAGGAAAAGGTATTGACGGTGCCGAAAACGGCCGAGTCGGAAACCGTCTCGTCGAGAGATTGTCGAACACATGCAGTTTGCCTTCGGCATCCTCTTGGTGGTGGAGTAATCGAGCTTTGAAAATCGGTCCAGAGGGGTGTGGTATCTGATGCAACCTACGGTAGTCAGCGTCAACAGCGATAGCCCGCTGACCATTGAAAAACATACGCCAGTATTGCCAGGCGCGTCTCGGGAACGGGCTCATGAGAGTATGGTAGCAGTGACGTTAGTGCATGATGGCGAGATGAAAGTAAAGCATGCGTTGGTGAAAATCAGCTGCCAGTTGCCGTCAGTCAGTGGCGTTTCCCAAGCTCGAAGAGCTCACACAGCTGGCGTGTTTTTGACAAGCCCAGCGAACCTCAATGAACGAAAAAAGAAAAGCAGCAAATCTGCTTACAGTCTTGTACCGGGGATAGCAATGCTTATTGAAAGCGATGAACCAAGAGGGAATACTAGGAGGTATCTCAGGTAGACCCACCCTGTTGAGACTAGATCACCTGGCTAATGTTGTGACTTACCCCGAGGGTTCTGCGGTGCCCCCCACTAAACGCGGCGCAACTCACGTGGCCGGGGACGATGCAGGTGAACGAGGAGCGATCTGCGCACGGGGCGGCCAAGCACGTCCCCGAGAGATTCACCGACGTCGGCACGGCCTCGGACTACCTGTCCTCGCTGCTTGTGCGGACCTCACCAACGGGAGGTGGGTGATCGAACGTCAACCGAACAACCGAGCCGATGCGTCGTCCTTTTTTCGCTGCGTGCCGATTACGTCGTTGTTTGTGCTTGTGGATGTTGTACGGGTCTTGGATAGACGCTTGTTGTTGGTGTGCTTTTGGATATTGTCCCAGGTCTTGACGACAAGCGCTTGGTGCTGTGTGCTGGTCTCGTTGTTGTACCTGTTCACTTGGCATGGATGTTGTCCGGGTCTTGACTCCACGCTTGTAAGGTTTGTCCGGTCGAACTTGAGCTTGTGCACCGCCGTCTGTGTTGTTGGTTGCTCAGGTCTGCGAAGCAAATGTCCAGGTCGAGGCATCGACGTTTAGTAGTTCTATTCGGCCGAGATTGAAGAAGGTGTGCGTCACCCGTGTTTTTTGTTGTACCCAGGCCTGCGAAGCACCCTCCTGGTGCTGGACGACGTGTGGGAGGCGAAGGTTGTGGAGGCGTTCGAGACGGTGGGGCTGTCTCTTCTCGTCACTACCAGGGAGGTGGGAATATACAACACTGTACTGTAGCCGGTGAGGTGGTCGAGGTTGGGGTCGTGGTGAGGCTTGCTGTTGCTAGCTGCCCGTGATTGTTGGGTGTTATCGTTGCTGTTGTTGATGTGTTCGGTGTTTTTCTTGATGTCATTGTTGTTGTTGTTGTTGTTGTTGTTGTTGTTGTTGTTGTTGCAAAGGGGGTTGTCCACCAAGAGTGTGAAGTGTTCACGATGATGGCGGTGGCAATTCTAATATTCCTCGTGCCTCCTCCCTCCCATGCTCCTCTGTCTTGTCTCTATCTCTTTGTCTGTGCGTCTCTCTCTCTCTCTCCCCCCCCCCTCTCTCACTCTCTCTGACTCCCTCTGTCTGTTTCTCCTTTCTGTCTCTCTGTCTCTGCGTCTTTGCCTCTCTCTATCTCTCCCTCCCCTCCCTCTATGCTTGTATGACTACTCACGCCCCCCGAAAACAAAACACACACACAGCCGCTGATCGCCAGGATGGCATCCCCCCACAGCGCCGCCGGCGTCTCGCGTCTCATCGGCCCTCTGGGCCCCCTGTCCGACGCCGAAGCTATCTCCGCGGCGGCAAAGGCGGCGGCGACTCGGAGGGTACCTCCGAAGGAAGCCAAGCAGCTGCTGGACAAGACCGGCCGCTGCCCGCTGGCGGTGGGAGTTGTCGCTTCCACCCTCAAGCAGGTGAGGTTGTGGGAAGGAACAGTGGGAGTCCCCGAAAGTTGGCGGTGGTGGCCCAGCCGATAATGACCGCGTTGTATTGGGCAGCCGCCTCATTTGGTTTGTAGAACGATTTTTCCGTCCACTACGACCGCCACGCCTTAAATCGGGCTACTCACTTATTCAGACCGCGTTATTCGGGGACTCCCACTGGACAGTAGTGGCCCATGTTTTTTAAGTCCGCTAGAGAAAACGCTGGCCTTATGCTATCGCACACCCACCCGGCACTATTCAGCGTATGAGACAGCTTGACTATCCAAGCGACTTCACCGGCCTTACAAGGGGCAACCCGCCTTGAATATGCGTCTTTCAGCGTCTTTCAAGAGGGACCGGTTCTGTATCGTTATTGTTGGCTGTCCTGACGGTTGGTGTCTTGGGGCACCTGTGGGTCGTTAAGCACGCCGCACACCACTTTTTTCGAAAGTCCTTCGAAAATTCTCCTTTCCTGCAATTGTAGAAGAGAAGTTTATTCGAAGTCTGGCTTTGTTTCATCAAGTTTTTCAATGTGATTCTCACAACAGGTGTCTCTGCAAGGAGCCTTGTTGGAGGGTACTGTAACTCTCCTGGTTACGAGGGGGGTGTGTGGAAGCGGAGAGCTTGTTGTCAGATGCGCAGAGAACATTGGTGGAACCCAGAACTGTGCTATGTTGTTCAGAGCAGAGTGGAGGAGGGAGTGGGCGAGGAGCCCTGCCTGGGGCCCCGCCGCCCAACTTCCTTACCACCACACACATGCATCCACGCAACCCCTAGAATCCCCGCAGATGAGTACCGACTGTCGAGTACACCCCAAGCACGGGGGGGTTCGCAGCAAGTATATCAGATATATCATCATGCCCACCACGTCGGTGGTGCAGTCTGCGGGTCCCCCTGCTTCCCCGTTTGAAAATTGACGCCATCGGGCCGAACGCAAGGACAATTACCATCTTCCGGTTTATCATTGTAAGGGTGCTGTAGCCTGGGCCGGCGAGCACCCGACATATCGCCCCGTCCCGGGATTGTAGGGATACGAGGTCGTAATGGTCTCAACGACTACAGCATGAGTTTACATGCGTATCCCCCCCCCCCGCGCGCGCGCCGCCTATTTCCTGCAGGCGCAGGGCCCCTTGGATTGGGTGAGCACTTCTTCGAAGGTGAAAAAAACCTTCGCCGGGCTTCACCGACGGCGAAGGGTCACGACCTCGACTGCCGAGCAGGATGCTGAGGACAGGGTGACGGCGTCCATCGCTGCCGGCCTCTCCAACATGCCGGAGGAGAACCAGGTGAGTCAAGGTGGGGGGGTCTCCGCGGCAGCAATGCAGTGCAGCGCAGCAGGCCCAGGAGGCAGAGGGGGACTCTCCCCTCCTGTTGTTAGACAAAATGTGCGCGTGGGTGTCTTTTTTTCGTTAGCATCGACCGCGCTAAACGGCTCACTACTTGGTAACGTCAGTGCCAGTGAGGTTTGGGTGGCATTGACAATGCTACCCGGCTGACCAATATAGGATGTCGGGTTGTTGTTTGCGGCTAAAAACATCCAATCTATTCTGGAATTGTTTGCTCCTGTACACACGGTTCGGTGAGTGTGTTCACGTATGTATCGCGCGTTTTTTGCTGGGTGTCGAGGTTGTAGAGGTGAGGGGGTGGGAGGGCGGGCTGTTGTGCGCTTGTGCGTCACAGCGGCGGGCAAGCGATATTGGTGCACGCTTCACTGCATAGATGCGCATGCTCCATGGTTAGTGTTGGTGTTTTTGTCGTCCATTATTTTGGCTGTTCCTGCCGCGTCTGCTGCTGCTGCTGCTGCTGCTGCTGCTGCTGCTGCTGCTGGTGCTGCTGTGTCTCGTTCCAAATTACCTCCTACATGACGCCTTAGGTTCCAAACCAGACAGGCCATGGCGCACATTCACGTTGTTGTGTTTGACCCCATCCCGTGCTGTGTCTGTCCACGCAGATGCTGTACTCGGCGCTTTGCATCCTACCCCCGGGGCTACCGGTCAGCTGTCGCCTGCTGGAACAAGTGTGGGAGACTGGAAAACGGACGACGGTGAGGAGGGGCCGGGGGGGCAACATCATATCATTTGCTTGCTTTGTTGGTATTTAGTTTTTATTGTCACCTGTGTTTCTCTGTGAATGATGTCACTGCTAGTGTTTCTCTGCTTTTGGAGGGCCGCGTCTACTTTGGGGTTCAACTCCCGACGACCTCACAGACAGGCTAGAGGAAACAAGTTTGAGCCACCTTTGGCAAATTCGAAAGCAACGATTGGCCATCGGTGATCGGTCGTGTGTGAACCATGCTCCGTCCTTGCGAGGACGCGCGATCGATGGCCTTACCGCGAGAAGGCATTCAAAACATAAGAGTACGCCCCCACCCTACAACATACGCTTTGTGCCCAACTCTTTTCGCGCTGGAACCCCCCTCACCAACAACGAAAATTATTTTCCCGGCATTCCCATTCTCCCTCCTGTTCAGCACACACAAATGTCTTTTGCACCCGAAGCGTTCTAGCACGGCCGAGATTCTCTCCCTATCTCTGCAAACAACCATACACCGTTGATTTTTACCTGGTGTTCGCTTGCGGACCCTTCTTTGTATTTGAGTATTCCCTTCTCAGGGTATGGCCTGTGACCACGGGAATAGACCGCGTAATGTTTTCGGTCAGACAGACAGATGAGCGTACGGTTTTTTATGTGAAGACAACAGCAACAGCAACAGCAACAATAACAGATAAAGATACGGCACTGGGGTGAAGACGACGACGACAACAACAACAATAACGACCCTCCGATTTCGTCATTTGTTTCTCAGATTCTCGCAGCAGAGGCGTTCGAGCACCGTAGGCTGCTCGATCGGCTGGGACCGGGTAACTTTGTGCTCCACTACGAGGCCGCTCGCTTCTTGCAGAAATCCGCGGGCTTCGCGGGGGAAGGGGCGTGGGTTGGGTGCAAGCTCCGCGGGCAAGGGAGGGAGCTGGCGTTCAACAGGCTCTGCAAGCACCTCGACAGCTTCGACACGCTCAGGTGTGGAGTGATGTGTTGAATCGCTCGTGTTCTCCCGAAGGTGTCGGTCTGTCTGTGTCTGCTCTGTCTCTGTCTTTGTCTCTCTGTCTCTGTCTTTGTCTGTCTGTCTCTGTTTGTCTGTCTGTCTGTCTCTGTCTTTGTCTGTCTGTCTGTATCTGTTTCTGTCTCTTGTTTCTCTGTCTCTCTCTCTCCCCCTCTCCCCGTGTACCCTAGTAGCGCTCTCTCTGCCCTTCCTTATATTACCCGCTCCCATCTCAACCCCCCCCCCCCCCCCCCCCCCCCCCCCCCCCCCCCC